CAAGCTTTGACATCGGCCGCCAACAAAATTCGTCCTTTATATTTCATTACAGCTTTCACTACGAAGCAACAAAAACAAAACTTATACCAAACAAATCAATTCAAATCAAAACAAATATATCCTCATGAAAATATATATTTTGTTGTACGACATTGTTAATGGCTTTGAATTATCTTGAACGAGTAACTTTAACCTAGGCATTGGAATGTCTGTATTGTTTTTCATCGATCTTTTTTTGGGTCGATAAAAAACTGATTTTTTCCTCCACAAAAAATGACTTTCGTTGAATGTCTGTATTGTGTTATATCACCATAGGGCTTTCATCTGTACGTTTTATAGAAACAATATGACAATTCCATGGAAATAAAAACGATATCGTATTGTGGCAGCATGTCTTCTGCCATCTTGTTAGGCCCAATTCACATAGAACAAACTTCTATTAGGAACGAGACGCGGACCTTTGTTCTTTCCGCGTCTCTCTCTTGTGAACAAATGGTCCAATGTTCACAAGAGAGACGTGGTGCAGGCGGTCGCCCTCCTGTCCTCGCCTCGTGTCTTTGCCGCCTCTCTTGGCGTACAAGAAGAGGCACGCTAGTTCCTTGCCACGTGGTTCTTCGGGTGAAAAAGTTGACAAATATTATTTGATTTTATTTGTGCTGATTATTGTAGTAGGAGTGCCCAAGACCAGGCCTGATAGACCAGGCCTGCTGATAAAATACACCAAATCCAATCAATCTTCGTCACTGCTTGAAAAAGCCATGTTGTAGTACACAACAACGTCCTTTCTCGCCACTGTCCCGCCCCTCTATGTGCATTACATGCGCCATGCTTCCGCCACGTTCGGGCCAGGTCAAAGCCTCGTCTTTGCCAGACGTCCGTTCTGTGTGAATTGGGCCTTACACTCAACAAAACAGTCATTCTCCTGCCATTTCCTCCCCTTCCTTCCCTAATTCTACTCCCATATGTGGGAGAATGTATGTTTTGGTAAATATGTAAATAGATTTTCTGTTAGTGTGGTATCCAAATAGACNGGACACCTTGTATATTAGTAATGATAATTGAAGCATAGATTTCATTAATCTCTCAAACTTTTTCCCGAAACATTTATTGTATCGAAGCAGCCTTTCTAATCCATCGATTCGGATAGTTAACATCTAGGAACCGTCAAACTAGTACTACGCAATGAAAAGGGCCCCATTTTGTGATAAACTTCCCTATTTCGTAAAAGAGCAACGAACTGGATGACCTTCCAATACTTGGCATACATTGATACAGGATACTGAATTGGAATACTTTCGAAAAATAATGTGCCACCCGACCATTATTTCCATTTGAATGTTTTCCATTATGGTTGTTATGGAAACTCTGATAGAAGGTTTGGTTTTTACGTAGAAATATGTCCCTCTGAAAACTATAGTTGGCGTATTCCACTATTTATTTAGTTCAAATATCAACTGATTTACTCCTGGCTCGTTTCAACTAGAAATTTCGCACCAATCCTCTTTTTCCAAAATCGATTCAACTCCAACATCTCCATAGCATCAAACGTGTTCATTTTCGAAATCGAAGAATGAAGAAGAATCGAAAACAGTTTTCGATAAGGAACCACTCGATACCTTGGAAATAGAATTTCGGATCGAAACTTGCCCCCTTACAAACAAACTTGACGTATTTTTGGATTTTTGAGAAATGATATTTTCCTGGTAGTTCTGACAGGGTATGTTATCAATGGTTCAGTCTGTATCTGTCTACATGACGGTAGAAAAACTTAGGAACCGAAAAAATGTACATTGATGTTAACTTATCAGTGGTTTTTGTTGGGAATTTCTTTGCTGGGAAGATACAGAAGTTTGCGGTGTATTATCAGATAGATATTTATGCACTTCTGAATGGTTTATTCTCGGCTCATAAATACCGTTTGTGGAAATAACATTATCCTGACGTGGATTGAAGGGCACGACAGGAGTAAAGGTAATCGCATTGCCAACTCTTCAGCCAAGAAAGCGGCTGGACTAAAAATTTTAGGACCCAATGTCACCTACAGCCTGATGATTTCGACAAGCCAAATGTTGCACCCATGCTCAATCCCTAAAGAGATGGGATGAAATCAAAGGATGCACTCTTGCCAGGATCACCCTGGACGTCCCTGGGAAGCTGGCGCCAAAGAATTATCTAGCGATGACCAGGAAAAATTTACGCTCAACAGTAGGATCTCTGACCAGCCACTGTCAACTAAGAAAACACCTCCATAATATGGGGCTGGTGGACACACCTCTATGCAGGATGTGTGAACAGGAAGATGGACAGACATGTCCTATGGGAGTGCCCGGAGTTATCGTCAATAAGAGATGAGTGTGTGTTCGGCGAGTCTCGGCCTACACCTGCCGATATAAAGGAGATATCTACGTGACCTGTGCACCTTCCTGGAAAGGACAGGTTCGACGATGGACAACTCCTCGGAGGATGTGCAATGGGTCACATGTGTCATAAGTGCTGTGGGCCTACACTCACCCTTCCTACTCTACAGATACAGATACTATTGGAATCAGAAATGTTATCAAGTCCTTGGCAAAACGAACAGAGTGCTTGAAAGAGAATATTGAAAAAAACTTTCCCGAAACACAATGGAAAAACCTTACGGCAATGTGCGTACAAACTTTCAAAGATCTTGGCGACACTACCTGTTTCCACATGTACCCCTGAAAGGTCTTTCTCTTCTCTGAAACGCCTCAAAACTTATTTAAGAAACTCCACAAGCCAAGAACGACTAAACGGTTTGGCGTTAATGTCAATCCACCGTAGAATTGACATCGACACCGAGGAGGTAATTGATTTGTTTGCTGCATAAAGAAAGCTAGAAAACTAAATATGATTTTGTAAATAGATGTTAATATTTCTGTAATGGTTTTCTAATAAATATATGATCATGTAACATAATTTTTTTCTTTCGTTTGTTTTATATTTCATGTCTGTTCCACCAAACCAAACCCCCCCCGGGATTGTTTGCTGGCTACGGCCTTGCTTGAACTATACGTATATTTATATTTTTTTTGTCAAGTTTCAGTTCTGATTTATCTTTTTTTTGTGTGTGCTCTGTTCGTACTTAGTTATGTTATAGTTAGTTTTCTTGAATTATTGTTTATTTTTTCCCTGCTATAAACATTGTATGTTTGAAGGTGATTGACAATGTTTCGTGATGAATTTCACTAGTCCGAACTAGTGAAATAAACATTGTATGTTTCTTGGGAAAATAAATTGTTAGTAGTAAAAGCGGTATTGAAATGTTAGAGCGGCACTAAAACGATTGTGTGGCTTTTGATGGAGACTAAGTTGATGAATAAAGACAATTTTGAACAAAAAACACGCGTTTTCTTTCTTATCGCCGGGACTTTTCAGCACATGTGTTAGCATAGCACATGCTCGAATTCGCTTGTCACAAATTTACTCAAAATAGTTCATTTTCAAATTATTTCAAATTATGAAAGCAACTACACACGGGCCCAAGTGTCTAACGCTTCTATGCGCAATTAGACAGTGATTCACCAATCAAGTAATATAAAAAAGGAAACACTAAAAATATAATTACGCGCCTGTTAAATAAATACGAAAGCGCCACAGCAAACCAATCCACAGTGACTTGAAAATTAAAAATAACACAACTCACTTTGTTACTAGGTCGCAATTCCAGGTTAGAGTATATTTTTGAGTTTATTTGTACATCGACAATAAGAAAAACTCGCGATGGTGTTTCCAATTTGGACGGCGGAAATTGTCAACAAGGATCGTGGACGGTGCACTTGGATTACCCACGTAATTTCTTCGTTGTCGGACAGCGCAAGCTCGTTTTAGAAATAGTGCGCTGTTATATGGCAACGGACGGTAACTATAAAACGATTTGTGCATCTGTAAGTTGACAGTGTTTCGGACATTAAGAATTAATGGCTCACGAACTAAATATAAAACGACTATTAAGTCGAAATCAATACGTACACCTAGGGTAGGAAAATATGTTATGAGTAAATATGTTATTTACAGACAAAGACATGTAGGAATCTGCCAATTAATTCAAGGAGAACAGTGGCATATTTACATACATTTCGGACTAAATAAAGCAAAGAAAACTGAAGAATGTGACTTTCCCAGCAAACTGATGAAGCATANAATCCCTTTAAATGTTGAATGCATTATTTCATTCCTCTTTTTTAAGTATTTAAATAATTTTTTAAAGAAAAAGGTTGAAATGATAAGTTTAAAATGCGTTGTTTCAGAGCTCTTTTATGAAAACTACTTGATTTTCGTCAGGAGGAACATTCCCCATTGACTGGAACTGGCCGATACTTGATGAAAATCCATATCAAAAACTGATTAATTCAGTATATTGTATGATTTTTACTATAAAAGGGTTTTACGAAAACCGCGACACGTGTTTTGCTACACAATAGCTTGTGCTTGAGGAAGCTATTGTATATCTACTATCATCATTATTATAAATGTATCAAAAACTACCAAACCAATTCAGATTTAGCGCATGAATCTTCTTCATTTCGTAAACCTCCTGTATACAGATTGCTGGTGCCACCTTGCGGCAATAGTCCCATCCACTACTTAAAATGTTTTCTCAGTTTTGTCAATGCCTCCTGTATACGAACACATTGCTGGTGCCACCTTGCGGCAATAGTCTCATCCACTACTAAATATGTTTTCTCAGTTTTGTCGTGAAAGTTGGACAGATACAAAATGCGGTTCATTATTTAACGTGAAGATGTCGCCAGGAATCAATAAATGATTTATATGACCACATTTATTAATTCTGTAATAAATCTTATACTGTTGAACCTTCATATCTAGAATTATATATGTATCAATATATCGAATAAAGACGTTTTTAAATACAAATTTGGGTACAATCAAACAAGAGCAGGGAGTTATTTCGTTTTATTTAAAGTTTTTCTTGCACAGATGATTTCGTGTCACAGGACAGTTCAGAGTGTGACGTCACTTGACCTAGCCCACGTGGCTCCTATTCCTTTGGCATTTATAAGTTAATTGGATTAGGTTACTTGTGTCATGTTTTGTTTATTATACGATGACCGATACTAAAAAATACTCCTACAAATATTGCATTGTCCCCATGTGTCAAAGCACCACAGTTAAAACTCCTAATAATGCTTTTTTTCGTGTACCAAGTGACATGAATATAAGGAAAAAGTGGTGCAAATTGATGAGGCGTGACTTGATTGGTCCCAAAAGCACGAAATATGTTTGTGGAGATCATTTTGATGTAAGTTATAGTACTGTCTGCCTATTTCTGACTTTCTAATATATTGAGATATGGGTCGGTTTACAGTTTAGAAATAAAATATGCTGTCGGGTTCTACTTTTGCAAAATACCTGAGTACGAAACTTGGTTGCTCAAGAAATTTTTTGAATTTTTTTTCTAGGAAAATCAGACAAAAATACTGCTTTTGAGAGTCCGACTTTCATTTCAACCCAATCTTATTGCCGGGTAAAAATCGTTCAATTTTCATTTAAAATCGATAATTGTTGACCTCTAAAATACCTACACCACATTGAGTATAATGTCAATCCTTTGAAAATAATTGTCACCTTAAAAAAAATCGTAAAATGAATTGAAAAATGTTCATCTCTTAATCTGAGATCAACTTGATTTTATTCTCATTTGAAAATAAACCTTCGAATGTTTAACAACAGTAGTAGTTTTTGAAACAAAGTGTCAAGTGAACTTTTGCGGAATTGAGTATTTATTTTCAGTAGATCGTGAGAATGGGATCAATTCGGAGGTTGTTCATTTTGAAAAACTCGGGGAAAAGTTTTTCGAAATAAAACACGTTAGGTTTCCTTTGAGAAACCATAACACAAATTTTTATTTCCCAATAAAATCTTGAAACTTCATCTCTCTCGCAACTACCTACACAGTAGGTTTCAGTAAATTCCTGCCGGAAAACCACTACTTTCCCGACTAAAATCAAGCTGGGTATTGAATTATATCCTACAGACATTTGTACAAGGTACTCCACAGGGGTTAGTCTGGCATGTTTCTCGTTTATTCAGCAATTATTTGAGTAGATCACCTACAGACCGGTTTCGAAATCTTACCTCTCAGGAGTGTAGGAAAGATCCGATCCAAACAGCAAAGGGCCTGGGATTCAATTAATTTCAACACGGCTAGACTATACTCCTTGAAATAATCCAGTGACTCAAATTTGATTTTCAAAAAGTAAACAAATATCATACTGAAATCATCACCAAACAGCAATAAAATATTAGGAGGCTCCAATAGACTTGCCTCTCATGAACCCGCAGATATCATGTGTATTAATTCCAATAATGAAGTTGCTCTCTTACATTAATGGCTTCTTTGCACAGTATATGATCGTTTCAAAATGCATACCTTCAACATTCCTCAATAGATCTCTGTGATTGATGTGTCCAAAACATCTGCGACATATTTTACCTCAACATTGTAAACTTTCATTTTCAGCTTGTAATTCATTGTATATTTTGTAACCAATCTAATCAAAATATACTTGGAACACACATGGTGGCTTTTTGTATAGTTGTTTAATATTCATTTTCAGGGACAACTGTAATGTTTATATGTATATAACCAACACATGTAAGATAAGTCTTTCATTGCTGGCTGTTACAATGTTTTTTTACTTGAACATCACTAAAAACGTTTTCTCCAGTCGAAAATAAATTGTTGAAAGCTCCTTTTGTTTCAATACTATTCAGACATTTATTTTTGTAATGTCCCTTCTATTTACATTTGAAATATTTTATATTTTTGTGGTTAGAATTTGAACTTCCACTGACAGCTCCACTCTGCGCATTCGAACTACCAATGTTGACATGTTTCTTGTTGTGACGGTTGCCTAAGTTCAAATTTTTGTGGCGCAAAAGTACTAGAGTATCTGGAGTTTGAAGAGAAACTCTTGATTTTCAATCGTTTTTCATTCTAATTTCGGACGATATTCGTTTCATCGGGAGCTGAAAACACCACTACATATATGGTCTTGATCTGACGGCCGAGAAGAACTACTTTAGGCTTATAAACTTGTATGAACCTGAGGGTGGGGAGTGATTAGTTCCAATAAATTCAGCACTTCCCATTATCCAATGAAGAGGTTTTATTATTCTAATACTTCCATAAAAGATCTAGGCGTCTTCTCGGATTCTAGACTGATTTTTCTTCAGCATATGGATCTTAAACTTTTAGAGGCATCTAAGATTTATGGGTTTATAGTAAAAGTTATATTGTCCAATTATAGGTAGTTCTCACTATACCACACACATTATTAAGATCAAACCAATGAAAAGAAGATTTCTCATGTATTTGCTTGTATTTTATTGTACTTAAACTGTTTTTGTAGTGTTATTGGATTTCTTTCATATTTGTTGTACAATCTGTTGGATGATAGTATTATTGGTATTTTCTATTCCTGTTAATGGAGTAAAGAAGAAACATATACATTTCTGCAAATTCATTAAGGGCATAATAGCTCAATGTTATATCCCAAAAATAACCTGTAATATAACTCACTCATAACAGTAACTAAATGCTATAAGTTCTGTATTTGGAAATGCGTTGAAAGTCACGACTTGAGCAATGTTGTGTGTTGAGCATCATCTATCGATATCAGCACATTTTCATCGGTGTCTTCTGTACAGTTTTCTTTCATTCAATTTGGTAATTTGCCATGTTCTTGTCGTAGACATCTTTATATTCTTTCGGTGACAAGTTTTGTGTTACCGACAGCCATCTTCAGTTCAATCAGGTTGGAGCCTAGCTCCCTTACCCTTGCAGCTGATTTTTGTCAGAAGGTCAAATGGGTTCATGACTAAGAGGTGGTGGCGATATGAAAGTTCTCACACATCACGGTGTACCCGCCCTACCTGGCTGGGGTGGGATATGGATGAGGAAATTGTTCATCCTTTAACGGGGGACATCAGGGCCTCATTCGGGGCCTTCTATATCGGGAGTTTTGCAATGATCCATATCAAATGAGAATCTCATTTGGACCACACGTATTTTTGGTGAGTTGGCTAACCTGTGAATTTATCATCAGTATTTTGTATTAGTGATCATATTGGTTGTTCACGACTTCATTTAAATCATCCCAATGTAACATTCACACTGAATTGTATATTTCTTCAGATAGACTTCGCTCTCAGCCTCATTATCAAAAAGTATTTCTGTATTGACGAGTATACTTTTTTGCGATTTTATAATTTTTGTTTCTTTACAGCTTAAAAATGACACAGATAATTTGATTAAATACAAACTAGTTGGTGGAACATTAAAGCTAAAACCTGGAGTATTTCCACATAAGTTTGACTGCCAGAAAGGTGTGAAGCCTGCAAAAGAACGTGGACCATGCGAAAAAAGGCTTCGAGAAGATTATTTTCAATATTCTTCAGAAAACGACGTTCCATCGATCTCGAATTGTCAACCTTTCGAAGTTATTCAGTTTGATTCAATACACGAAAAGTCAGGAGTCCTAGAAGACGTGCTATCTGAGGACTGTAGTGTGAATGTGCCAGATAATCATAAACAAAAATTCAAAGACAAACAAGTACAAGTTGACATAAAAGTAAAACAAAAGAAGAAAAAGGTGCAAACAATTTTAAAGCGAGACAAAAGGAATGTCGCACAAAATAAGGGTACCATGACCATTCACTCATCAGTTCTTTAAAAAAAACATTAATTTTACCGAATACTTAGCTCTAGTTCAGTTAGTAAAATATTGACCTACAATCTTCTATGTTGTAAATGTATAAAAATATGTATGACAATGAAAATTTCTATGAAAATGGTGTTTAATTGCGATAATTTGTTCTTCTGGTATACCATCTGGTATAGCAGATAGGATTCTTGCTTGAAAGAAGACATCCGCACTTCTTCATTGTTGTTTTTAATCGTTTGTCAATGGGTATTTGGTACTCGTTGTGAAGAACCTGTTCATTTTAGCGTGTTCTCTTGGATAGGATACAAAATCATCTCATCGGCGGAAAATCTACTCTTTTATCCATTATTATGGATCATATCCTTCTTCTCTGTTCCATGTAGACATTCTTTACTAGTACCTACTTTCCAATAAAATTACCATTCAGCATGTCTTTCGAGGTGATAAGTAATTTTTAAGCCGTCACAAAAAAATACTACGTTGAGAGTTGAAGGAAGAAAATCCGAACAAGAAAAAACGAAATTGTTCGGAGTGTTCCACATATTCATTTCCACGAGTCATTTTTCGAATTTCTCTCGTCTATTTGAAAAACTGTGATTTTGAAGATGAGTTAAAAACATTCCAATTGTAATAACCGGCAAAAAAACATTTTGAGACGATATTTGCATTCAGTTCATTATGGAAAAATGAAACTATAGGCAAATCTTACATACACTTTCGTTATAAACTAAAAAAATATTGAAGAAAAATTTTAGGTGGACTCAGAAGTGTATTAAACTAATACACGCCCAGCTTCAATAGTTTATTCCTATTATATTTTTGTCTTGGTATTCACTTCTCTATTATAAGTTAAATAAGACACATATAGTTGTAAAATGTATAATTATATGTACCTACTAAAATTTTAGATGGAAGGGTCATAAAACATAAAACAAATCAATTGATTCAAATTTTTAATTTCAATTGAAATTGTACCACATTTGGCACATTTGATTGAGGATTGAACTCTTCAGCTACAAATGTGATAATGAAAATATGGTTACAGGTTTATTGGGCTATTATAAGTTTCTTCTCATGTATAATATTCAATTATATACAATAATTAACCACCCCCTAATATTTCTGTTCATAATCTCTGATATATAAAAATAAATAGTTCCTACCTAATGTTTAAATAGTTTTTTTCAATACAAACTCTCTCCCAAGCACAGATTGATTGTGTTCCAAATATTAACATTTTAATAAAATAATTAGTCGGTATATTCGGATCATAAATATATATTTCAAAACCAAGCGTACCTCTTCATCTTTGAAGTTGGAAAATGACGAAGCTGGCAGCTTTTTTCAAATTACGGAAGGGGGCGGTTTTTCCAGATGAAGAAAGATTTTGGAAAAAAATTATACCTGTATCAAACGTTTTGAGTACGATTTATGAGTATGATAATAAATAATATCAATTCTTTGAATATACAGGGTGTTTCAGAATTCGACGGACAAACTTATACCACGTCATTCCTCTTGCAAAATGATGAAAAATGAGGTAGGACATGTGTGTCCGGAAATGAGCCTTTTCAGAAATACAGGGCGTTGAAGTTGCAAAATAAAAAGACCCTTTTCGTCGTAGCTCCCGGTTCATCTCCCCGTTAAGGTATCGAATATGAAATCTGAAGTTTTCACGGATAGGAATATGCTGAACTGGTATTCCGGGTATTTCATCCGTGTATGTGATATTATCTCTAATTTCACCGACGTTTCGACAAAATCTCATTTGTCATTATCTAGGTGTGCTAATACGTGTTCAGAAGTTTTGTTGACCTTGCTCAACTCACTTCTCACTATACTGGCAAAACGGTATTCGTTACGTGTTCAGATATAGAGGGTCCATAAACTCATCATAAACTGATGGACCTCCTTGGCAACTCTGGAGCTGATGACGACGAAGGTTATCACTACAAGTAAAAAATTTATCACAGTCACAAGAATACATTTTCTATGATATGTTCTCACTAACTCACTTGATGTAAACTGACATAACCAATACTCGTCCGCTTCTTAAATATCACAGTCCTTGCCGCCTGCGCGGCACCATCGACAGCGAGGGTAGAGCCATGCGTTACGCCATAGACATCGCCGCATCGAGGAAGGTAAGGGCACGTCGATGAATACGCATTACTCAGCCACACGCCGTGGAGTGCACATCTCGCTCTCCTACCGTTGAACGGTTGCTGCAGGGGTAGAACGATGCGTTACGTCATAGTCTTCACCGTATCGAGAGAGGTGAGGACACACCGATGAATACGCATTACTCAGCCACACCTGTCATGGAGTGAACATCTCGATCTCCTACCGTTGAATGGTTGCTGCTGTGACGTCACACCACTACTAACTTGGTGGGCTCACACCGATGAAACATTCATTACTTGAAGGATCTTCGAAGTATGCAGACTCTCTCACACACACTAACCAAATGTAATTACGTCATTATGTCACACACACAAAATCTCATATGAAAAAAATTCTGAATGATCCATGCACTAGATACTTCAAGGTCACATCGCCTCGATGTTACTAAACAACAAAAAAACAGCAATCAATACGTCACAGTGGTGAAGAGAGGCTTAGAACCGGCTCAAATCTCCTACTTTCCGCAACAACCCACTATTCATCATCGACTGCTCCCATCAACCTGAAGCTATGAAGTCGTTCACTGTAGACATGAAAATTGAATTCTAAACACGCAAGGTGAAGTTTCTAGCGAGCACCAAAGAATATGCAATAATCCTCCAAGATGCTGTGTCATCTTATAATTCTCCTAATGGCTCTATTCAGACTGGATTGTAATAAGATTGACATGTAATTCACTATGAAATATTCGATATCGATGAATAATAAAACACTCAATAATTATTTCCTGCCTTTTTTTTTCATCAAACAATTAGATATTTACGAATATGAATTGAAACATAATTTGATTATAACATATACAACACATTTCAAATATTCTCAACACCATCATGTAATGATTCTTCCAGTTGTGGGCTGGAACTCCGTGGTTCCAATTGATATTTCAGCAAAGATGGGAAGGCTCGTTTCATATTCCTGGCATATACGGGGTCATAATGATTTGTAATACGAAATGAAATTTTTTTGTTATATTTTAAGTAAACTATAGACTATGTGAAATTTTGTAGACGTTCCCTTTTTCCATTATGAAATCTACTGGGAGTTCACTAAAAATTGAGGTAGTGATTTTGAAACCGTAACAAAATATCACAAATCACGCTTTTAGAGAAATGACTAAACAGTTCTATTTTAAAACTTGACTGACTAACGGAATGTTTATTCCGCCAGATACACTTCACTCATCGTAAAATACATTCTTTGTTTACAAATCTTTGACTAGCGTTATGCTCACTTTGTTTCAATCATTCAACATAAATCGCGAAACCGAGAGCAGGTAATTCAATATGTCGCTCAATGCGAGTCGCAGAGAACATTCGAACAGATAAACGAGTGATAGTTAGTATATCCAATTAATTCTTTGTTCTGTTACAATGGCAGCAGTTCGTGTTTTCGTTTCATTGTCACTTCGATAAAAAGTTTATTTGCACAGTGACATGGAATCATGATAACTTCTCTTGTTGTTCTCTAATATCTACCAACTCGTCATGTACGAACTGTTTGGTCTTCCCAACGTGTATATCTTCTGGTGAAAATAGAAAATTAACGTAAAAGAAAGGTGTTGGTTACCTAGTTCTCCATCTTCATAAATGTTGGAATCTTTCTTAGAAAGGATGATAGCAATCAATTTCAAAAAAATTAGCTAATGCAAAAATGTGTAGATCATGCAAAGAAGTACCCTTCAAACACAAACTGAAAGAAAAAGCCGTCTTGAAACTGTTACTTTCATAAAAACATTGAATTACACAAAAGAAATTTTTCTTTCGTGTATTTACTTTCGAAAATTACATAAATAAGAACACTGAACTATACAAAAACAAGTTTCTCTACTCAGTTAACATAGGCAAATACAACTTTTTGTGACAGAAAGTCGTAATTAAATGAATGAATTGGAATGTCATGTCATCCAGATTGGGACTGAAGAGCATCCGAAACATCGGATGTCTACCACCGGATGTGAAGATGACATTGTTCCATGTAAGTGAAATTTTACCTCCCATATAGTATGTAGGAACCCTGATTCAATTTCATAACGAATGTTTGGAATACAAACTGAATAAAGATGAGTAATTTTTGTGTAATTCAGTTTTCATATAAAAGTAATTGTTTCGAAGGTGTCATGCAATTCAATAGTTATATGAAAGAAACTGTTTCGACAGGGTTTTTTTTTGAGTTTGTGTGTGAAAGTTACTTCTTTGCATGATCTACTCATCTTTGTATAGAATTGAATTTTTGAAATTAATTAATTTCTTCCTTCCTTTGAAAGGTTCTACATTTTTTTGTATAAAGATGAAGTAGAAAGCCAAAACCTTTCTTTCCGAAAGATCAATATCTCCTGAAAATATAACCCGTTTGATTCAAACGAAGATTGAGTTCTTGATGATTGATATTTGTAATAATAATAATTAATAATAATTTATATAGGATAAGTCGACATGCGACGTCGACAATAATAGTTGTAGGTACCTAATATTCATATTATTTGAATGAAATAAAACCCTGAGAAAATCTGAGAAAGACATACACCGCAAGTATGCTTTTTATAGTTCTAAAAAAGAAAAACGAAATTCAACTTTAAGCCATCAGTAATAATAGGTTGTGCACAAGAAAATCTTAGCAAATAGAAAATAATAACCAAAGTTTGGGGCTGATGCGATCTATCATTGAGGTGATAATGAGAGGAATATTAAGTTAGAAGGTAAGACCTTGTCAATCTTTATCTCGTGAAAGTTTCGTCTCCTGAGTGTTATCGTTAATGAGGAAGCACCGGCCGGTGTTAACCGTTAGGAAATACAGATTTTGAATAGTTTTTTCCAACAAGTCAAACATATAAAATTATGTATTTGAATATACTCTTAATAGAACCTCATGTCTTGAAGAATAATCTTAAAATCGCAAAAGACTACACGATGAAAGAAAGATATACTGTGAGAGAACCCATCATGG